TCTTTTTTTTTTTTTTTTTTTTTTTTTTTTAACTCCTATCTACATTCTAGTCATATGTCTTAGTCTCGTAATTGTGCAACATAATTAGCTGCAGCAGTCTTGAAAAAATTTATTAAGATGGAAAATACTAGTTTAGGCACCTAAACTTGCAAATTTTGACAAGGATTTAATAACTGATAAACATCTGTAGTAGAACTTCTAATTTATGCTTTGATTTATTCGAATAATCAGGTGCATTAATAATCAGGTGTTTAGAACTTCTAATTTATCAAACCTCAAAATAAAACCAAAGACCATATTCCAAATTGATCAAGTCTCAAGGGATTCGAATAATCAGGCTATTCCAAAACAACTTCAGTGGATAAATGCAAACAGGTTGATTCATGTAAACATACGTCCTAACCAGACCCAAGAAAAAATTATTAGCAAAATCTAACTAAGCGTACTTAGAAACCTCAGAATTAATTTAATTAATTTCCCTAAACATTCTATCTCTTATTCTTATAACTTTGACACCCTCCTAATTTAATGATCCTACACCTACACTCCTTAACCTTCCTAAAGGTCGGGTTGGGTCTGTTAAGTTTTGAGTCTTAATTTCGTTATTAAGAAGGTTACCGTCGGTAAGTGTAAAGATTCACCTATCCTTAACTTGGATTCTTGGGCCCGTTTAGTCTCTTAATTGATTTTTTAATTCTATCTGTCTACCATTGTATTTTACAAATGATTTTTTTTTCTTTTTATTTCGTGCTTTATTTTTTTCTTTTAGGCATGTTTAGCGTGCCGTATTGTATTGTTCTTATGAAAAATATTGTTTAATTTTGCACCGTATTAACATGTTGTATTATATTATACAATGTTTGGTTTACCATTGTATTGGATTATTTTACACATTTTGTTTATGCACTTCTTTTTAACTTATTCTGTCTAAAATTTCTCTTATTATTCTCTCTCCTCAGTCTCTCTCTACACTTTCTCCCTCCACATTTCCTTTCTTCTCTCTCTCTACACTTAATTTCTTCTCTTTTTTATCACTTTTGTTCTCTCACGTTTTTATTTTATTAAGATTATATTCTGTCTTTCTCTGTCAAGCTTGTATTACTAAGAAAACAATAATTATTTGCATAATATCCACTCTCACATTGTATTGGATTATTTTCTCATTGGATTACTTTCTTCCTCCACATTTCCTCTCTCCTCTCTCTCTCTACACTTAATTTCTTCTCTTTTTTATCTCTTTGTTCTCTCACGTTTAATTTTATTAAGATTATATTCTTTCTTTCTCTGTTAAGCTTATATTACTAAGAAAACAATAATTATTTGCATAATATCCACTCTCACATTGTATTGGATTACTTTTCTCATTTGGTCCATACACTTTTTATTTTTATTTGTTCATTCAAAACTCTCTCTCATTATTCTCTCTATACAGATTCTGCTCTCTCTTTCTCTGTTAATAAGAACCTCAAATTGATAAATTAATCAAGATAAAAACAAAAAACAATACGAAGTAAGAATTAGCCATTTTCACCAAAAATCAATAATAATAATAATAATAATAATAATAATAATAATAATGCCACAATACGATTATAAAATAAAGAAAGTACATTCTAAAAGCCAAACACAGATCAACAACTACCCAAGTATATGAATTCCAAACAATGTCTAAAAACTAAAATATTATATATAGTAGGTCATATGTCTAAACCATCTAACAAGCTCTCAAAAGCATGTTGGTTTCTCAAAAGTAAACCCTCCTATCACGGCTGCCTCATCTCCCTCAAAATTCTTCTCACAAATGAGCCATCTGTGAACATAAACGTTGCCTCGTATTGTGGTTTCTCCAATATGTGGGTCAAAACATGACCTCGTTCATTTCACCGATTCGAATTTTATTACAATAAAAAGCTTTAAAAAACAGTCACATCTAACTTTTTTGTTACAGTAAAAAGCTCTCACACAAAGTCACATATCAACTCAAATTAAAAACTCTAATCAACGAACTAAACGGGCTTCAAGTTGGTCATCCTCAGAAAAGCCCACGTTCTTTAACTCTAAGAGCAATATCTTTTCCGTCTCCATTGCCCGGAATAAGCTGCTCACGAATTAGCCTCATTTGCTCAAATATTTTCTTGAATGAAGATGCAACTTCCAACATTCCATCTTGCATATTTTCTAAGCAAGATCTTTTCCGTCGATTAGATGGTCTAGATGAAGTCTGATTCACTGACCTAGTAGTATCATCTTCTTCTGTTTCATCATCTACATCAACCCTCTTGATTCATATTTTCAACCATATCTGCTGGTGTTTCCACTCCTCTACCAATTGCTCTATCTTTACCGAAGATATTAGCAAGCCTATCATAAATTGGAATACTCTTGTTCCTCCAACCTTCAGCATCCTTATTAACCTGCAAATTGACAATTCAATATATTAAAGTAGTTAATTCTCGTTGAAAGAAAAAAAAAATACTAGTAATCTAAAAATAAAAGTAAATGCAAAGGTCAAACCTGAACATAACTCAACCATGCCTCATCACTATCAACTTCCACACACTTTTTTATGTCATTCCATCCGAATCCACTTCTGTTCAACATGTCATACACTTTTCGATATTGCTTTTTCAGCATTCTTATCTTGCTCTAATGACATGTTTATCTACGCGTAATCAGAATGAGCATGAATTAGAGTGACAAGATTTGGAATTAGAATCACTCCAAATCTCATTCATGCATTTCCTCACCCAGAATCGGAATGAAACAGTGTAAAAGTATTAACATATCATTTAAGTCAATTTGATATTTTCAATTTAAAAAATAAATTGTGTACTTATTATATTAAAATTAATCATAATTAAAATATTTAGTATAATAATAGGATATTAAAATATATAATAAATATAGATTGTACAACTATTTAAAATATAAAAATAAATTGTTAAAAAAATTTAAATAAATAAATAAAAATAAAAATAGTGTTAAAAAATAAAAATATATTATTAATTTTATTAAAAAAAATAAAGTACATATTTATCATATTAAAGTTAACAATAATTATGCTAATATTATAATATTATGCAAATAAAATAATAAATATATGTTGTAATTATTATTTTTAAATTTTATTTTTAATTGTATATTTATAAGTAAAATAGGGGTATGATAGCAAATTAATGTTAATATTAGGAATGAGAGTCTCAATCTTAAGAGGGGCATGGGAGTGCCAATTCCGTTCATCAATCCCAAATTTAAGTGAGGCCCACTAATCTCACTCGGATAAAAAAAAAATAAACATGTGATTAACTCCTATTTTTCACTCTCATTTCTCAATCCTGGTAAGTAAACATGCCATAAATATCTGGATTAGCTTTCAATCCACAATTAGGAATAACTTTCATCAGTGCAGTCTATCTCTTTCAACGTTCCTGATTTGAAGCTCCCGTTGTCACAACAACGATTACCACATTCTACCATGACATCCTCAAGTACCGTTAACAAGGCATCTTCTTCAAACTTACTCCATATCCGTCTGGATTTTTTTTCCCCCCACTACTTTGTAAATTGATTTGGCTGCTACTCCCAGAATCCATACCTGAACAAATTTTTATCATGGGATGAGCATTTCAATATTTCACTTTAGCTCTTCATGTTAAAAAAAAAAGTATTCAAACACCATAGGAATCTGTTTGGAATTATAACCAAACTGCCTAAGTTATTTCTTTGTGGGAGGAACTAGGTATTTAAATAAACAAGTATAAAAAATTGGTATTGGAAATTAACGGTTACAAAATCATCATATCACTGTATAACATAAGTAATTCAGATAACAATCATCAATGAAATTACTACTACAATAAGTTAATAAACACAAAACGAGCAAATAGTAATCAAGTTCCAATATTGGATTGGACAAAACTAAGGCATCGTTCACTTCGCGGATTCAAGTTTTCAATTCAAGTTGAGATATGACAGTTTTTGAGAGCTTTTAATTATAACAAAAAAAGTTAGATGTGATATTTTTTGAGAACTTTTAACTGTAAAAACCTAAAATTGAAAACTCAAATAGGTAAAATGAACAAGACCTGAGATCACAGAAAACAAACCAAGAATCAGATAGTCTTTCAAGAGCTAACACGTGTGGAGGCAAAGAGAAATTGTCGTAGCTTCTTTCAAGAGCTAGAGATAGATAGTAGGTTTTTTTTTTTTTTTTTTTTTTTTTTTTTTTTTTTTTTTTCATACAATGAATATAAAAAGACTAATGACTCCCATGTTGCCTCCATTTATTATACATTTGCATAGCCAACGTATTTCTCATCTTCACGGAGAATAACATACAACAAACCATGGTGATCATATATGCAAATAGAAAATACAGAAAATAAATACATAAGAAAACATATGCAGCAACATTATATGATGGTCGCTTTTCATTTAATACCAAATAGATGGTCATACATATAGTTGTAACACATTTCATCGTTAAATGAGAGTCAATTTCGGTATTTTCTCAAACATGTAAAAGTAATTTTCATTTAAAATCCAAACACTGAGTGCTGATTTGCCAGAGACTAATTACTACCAGTCTTTCCTCGGTTATTTGCAGAATCCATGAAAACACTTCTGAAGATCAACAATATTGAATACACCTGAAACAGACTTTGAAACGTAACAACAATGAGTCTATTGAGTAATTAATTCAATCAAAGAGGAAACAGTCGAGTATATATAGTATAGTATAGTAATATATAGTATAGTCAACAATTGCAGAACCAAATATGAACAAACAATGGCAGAACTTATTTCAGCCTTTGAAAGCTTTAATGAACAACAATTCGAAAAGAAGAACCAAATATGTGTAAGGCCATACTGTTGGAAAGAAAATTCAAATTTATTAACAAAGACAAGTCAAAAATCAAAGTATTTTCATACTGCAACTTTACAGCCACAAGGTAATCCTCTTATTTCCTAATAGCAACTATTAAACTTTGCAGCCAAACAAAGACAAGGCAGAACTAGTTGAATGCACTTAACACACAAGATGAAAAGAAAATTCATATTTATTAACAAAAAAATCTAAAATCAAAGTATTTCATCTTTCTCATCAAAATCCCAGACCACAAAACACCCCCAAGCCATTTTTCGGTTTAAAAAAAAAAAAAAAAAACAATACAAGGAGATAAAGAGAGAAGCAATAAAAGGGCATAATACAATACGGAGTTAACACCAAACACTGAGTGTATTGTATTAAATTGGTATCTGGTATTATTTTATATAATACGATGTTAATACCAAACACTGTATAATTTTAAATAATACAACACGGAGTCTTAATACGGAACATACCATTATTTCTTTTGGCTTCATTATCTATTTTGCTGCCAGCACTCTTACAGTGTGTTTGGTAGGGTGAAAATAGAGTAAGAATTTTGTAGTAGAAAGTGAAATTTTAGATTGTTTGGTAGAGAGGAAATGAGGAAGAAAGGAAAATAAAAATTTATAGGGCCCACCAATTTTTAATCCTTCCAACTTTGAGAAGAAAAGAAGAGGAAAAAAGTTTGACAAAAAAATGAGATGTAAAATAACAATTTTAACCTTCACCATTTATCATATTTTTATTTGTATTGTGATATTATTGTAAAATATCTTAATTTAACCTTTTTTTTTTCACTTTTCTTTCACTTCTACCATTTTACTTCATTCACTTAGTATTTTACTTCTCTTTCCTTTCTCTTTTCTATCCATTCTACCATAAATAGCATTAAACTCGTGCAGTTTCCCCTTTTTATAAGTTCCCGGTTTGTATGGCCGAAAAACCACTCACCTTTGGTATCCTCACCCACTCCAAGTGGACGATCTTCTTTCGTCACCCTTACCTACTCCAGATCAGTTTTCTATACGCAGAAGGTTTTAGTGCAAGTCCTTTACGAAATGCTGCTCAAAATTGGCTCCAAATCCGGCACAAATTACTCAAAATATGTTGCTCGACTTTGTAATATTCGAATATTCTTTACTTTCCGCTTTTGACTTTGTGTGCCTAAACGGATTTTTGATTCTCAATAGAGACTTGATTCTGAAGAATGGGCTAAATCTTGCTATCTGAAGCACAAAATCTGTATTAAAAGGACACTAGAATTTATTTGATATGAATCGAATAAACGCTCATTAAATCCCAATATGCAACATGAAAAATTTCCAAAATTGATGTACTTTAAAGTATAGTTGATTATGAAAATCGGGTAAGTTTAATCAAGCAAGTCCCCTAAACAAATTTTTGACTTTTAAAGAAGACAAACTTGAAATAAATCAATGGAGTCAGCACAATCACGTGTGACACAGAAGTTTTCTAATTTGGACTTGCATATCAGAAAAATTAATCACAAACTAAACTTACTATAAATACTTCAATTTATTAAACCTGATCATGAAACAAGATTTTGCTTAATTGTTCCACCGTGTCTGCATGGATTAGGAAACCTGACTTTCCTTAACGAAATTCGGCCAGACAGGAGAAAATATTTTCACCTCTACAATAAAGGAAAGTTGCCATAAAATCTCCGAAAATCAAATGAAGGCAACCTCGGACTAAAAACATTCTTTTACAAAATTCCGAACAATCTCCCCCTTTAATATCCTTATTATAAGACTCAAAACCTGTCACAACAAATGTTTACAATTTCAACACAAGGAACAGAACAATAAAATAGCGAGGCTTTCTCCCCATTCTGAAATAAAGTGAGGTAGTTCTATTCGCACACTCATTTTCAATCTCTACAATATCTCCTTGTCTACACACTTCATATTATTAAATTTACTTTTTACACACCTCTTTTGTTTTAAAATTACTCGACTGGTTATGTGAGATTATTAATTTTTGACCACTCCAATTTTTTCACCACACCCACTTTTTCATTTTAATTCTTTACTTTAGTACTATCGTTTCACTTTTTCTTGTTGAAGTTTAAGGCATGAAGCATTTTCTCAAACATAAAAAATAAAAAAAAAAATTGTTATTACATTTGTTAGAAAAACAAAGTAGATTAACTGTATAAAAATTTATAATAGTAAATTTACGTTTCTTGGATGTTGCTATTTAGAAATGTATTAGAAATTTTCTATAGTAAATGTCCTTTGTTTTTCTAAAATGGTAATAGTAAATTTTCTTTATGAATGAAAAAACGATTCATGCGTAAAATTTCAAATAAAAAAATAGAGAGAGATAGAAAAATGTAAGGAAGTGTTAAAAAAAAAGAAGTTGAAAGAATTATTAATCTTATCAACATAGCTATGGATATTTTAGTATAATAGGAGTGTGTAAAAAGTAAATTTATCATTTTAAAATTATGTAAGGAGAGTATTTAAAAGAGGGATGTGAGATTAAAAAAGGGTGGGTAAATAGAATCACGCAATAAAGTGAGCCAAAGTTCCGAACAAGTTAGCCCAGATTCAAGAACAAAGCTCTTCTCTATATTTATATATATGTTTGCTTTAATTGAAAATTATTATTTTTATTGGTTTTTAAATTACTGTTATTATTAAATTTGTAATATACCTTATGGATAATTATTTGTGAATTGTGAGGTCAAATTAGCACACGGGATTAGGTCAATCACAGGGAAAAACTGGAAAAATGA